AATTCATTCAACCTTTAGACAGGTTCATCCCATTGAGCCTCAGGGTCTCATTTACAAGAGAGACCTTAATTTTAGCAAAGAGTTATGACAACAGTGGACAACAACGACAACAGTAGACAATCATAAAGGATGCATACAAATTGAGAAAATCAAGTAAAAATAAAATAATATAAAAAAAATAAGCATCAAAAATACAGCTAGATTATAAGGCGGTGTAGAAAACTAAAAACAGGAACATGTCTGCATTGGTTTTTGCCAGGAACTTAGCAGATGTTTGAAGCCATTTAGAGAGGTCAAGGTCGAAAGCTTCAGATCTTTTTGTAAGATATTCCAGGAAACAGGAGCGGAGCAGGACAAGGCCCTTTTGCCAAGTTCAGTACGCACTGAGGGAACACTGCAGGTAATAATGTCCTGAGAGTGCACGCTGTAGCTGCACTCATGCAGAGACATGTAGGAGGAGATGTATGAAGGCAACAGACCAAGAAGTGATTTAAAGATGAAAATGTACCAATGGGAGAGTCTGTGTCAAGATAATGATTTCCAGTTGACCAGTGAATACAGGTGCAGTGATGAATACAATATTTACAGCCACTTGTGAATCTTAGTGCACCATGATAGGCAGCATCCAACATCTGCAGGGTGCTTGCAGGGGTGTTCATGTAAATATTGTCACCATAGTCAATGGAGGGAAGGAAATTCACATTTACAAGGCGTTTCCTAGCATTCAGAGTTTGACAGGATCTGTTTCTGAAAAAGAAACCCAATTTAACTTTCAGTTTCCTTACCAAGTTTTCCACGTAGAGCTTAAAAGAGAGATGCAAGTCGATCAAGATACCCAAGTATTTCTAGGAATTGACAAGCTCTATAGGAACACCTTTCGAGGATAAAATCGAAGGAAGAACTGCTGGGACCGACTTCCTGTTAGAAACAGCAAAAGCTGGAAAACCTTAGCTACTGTTTTAGATCAACAATAAATAACTGTGTCATCAGCATAGAAATGTAAGGATGCACCAGGGATGCTCTGACCTACATTACCTATTTAGATTGTAAAGAGGGTGGGTCCTAAGACTGAGCCTTGTTGACTGTTAAATAACTGGAGGAAGTTGTAAGGATGTTACTTTTCTGTGGCCCGGTGTGTCTGTTTCCCTCGTGCTCCTCATTAGTTTCCATTGTTGCCACCTGTGTCTCGTCCCAGCTGTTTGTCATCATGTCTCGTCTTCTCCAAGTATTTAAGCAGTCCTATTCTGTCTTGTCCTTTGTCGGGTCGTCTTCGTTGGGTACGCTTCCTTGAGTCTCCTGAGTCTCTCCTTGTCTTCCTGGTTCCTCGAGTTCCCCGTGTCTCCTGAGTTCCCCGTGCCTCCCTCCTTGTTTATGTAAGTTTTGCTGCCCCGTCAGCTTGTTTATTTTGTACTTTTCATTTATCATTAAAAACCTATTTTTGTATATCTGCCGAGTTGAGTCCCTGTTCTGCACTCTGGGTTCGCTCCGACCACAAATCCTAACAGAAGTACCATTATGTTGAGCACATTGCCTCCAATCTGAAAGATAGTTAGAGAACCAACCAATGGTGTGATCTGAGAAACTGATTTCTGAGAGCTTATGACTCAAGATGTTATGATCCACAGTGTCAAAAGCTTTAGACAGGTCTAAGAAAAGTGCAATAATCCTTAGCATCCAGTGCTTCAACAACGTCATTAAGAACCTTCAGTGAAGCAGTGGTTGTGCTGTGTTGTTTCCTGAAACTAGATTGAAGGCGAGGTAAGATGTTAAATGAGTCCAGGTAATTTTTGATTTGAGAGTTTATCAGTTTTTCTAGAACCTTGGCTAAAATGCAGAGTTTAGAGATTGGTCGATAGTTGTTCAGTGAGGTGGGGTCACCTCCCTTCAGCAAAGGAAGAACAAAGGCTGTTTTCCAAGTGTCTGGGATGGAGTTTTGTCTTATGGACAGGTTAAAGATGTGGGACCCCACCCGGTACTGCGATGATATGAGTGGCCAGCCTTAAGAAAGAAGGTGGAAGGTCATCAAGGCCTGCAGATTTAGAGTCTAGCCCTTTTAACAATTTATTTACCTCACTAACTGAGAATGGTGAAAGTAAAAAGGTGGTTTACTGAAGATTGACTTGTAGGAGAGATTTGATTTGTAGATGTTTGGCTTAAAGGAAAAGCGGCTGATCTAACATTAGTAACTGTGGCAAACAAAGAACTAGTATCAACAAAATGTTTGTTGAAACAGTTCAGGATCTTGTGCTTATTTGACACAGGAACAGAGTTAACAAGAACCTGTGATGGCAGGTCAGATGAATGGGAGCTGCCAGAGAGAGATATTTGATAGTTAGACAAGAATGTCTTTAACTCTGTCAGTTAAATAGATATTGAGATAAAATTTGATGGGGTAGTAGTTGAAAGACATCCTCAAAACATAATTTAAGCACAGAGATCCCACAAGGTTGGACCTATATGGCTACTGCTTTGTTATTTCTCAGCATACAGATGACACTAGTTTGAAACTTTGGCATAAATGTAGCGACTAGCTTTAGTTGCTGCATTTGACCTACCAAAGTGGTATACTCATTTGTACATAAAAAAAAAACATGAGCAACTTTCAACTTAAAAAAAAAAAAAAATTGTATGCATTCTTTATGATTGTCCACTGTTGTCATCACTTTTTGTTAAAATCAGTTTTATCTTGTAAATGAGTCCCCGAGACTCAATGGGAGAAACCTGTCTAAATAAAGGTTGACATGTCAACTTTCAATTTTTGAACCCTGAACCAGAGTGAGGTAAACTTGTCTGTCAGGCCTTTGGAGTGAAATGTGGGGGTGTGGTGGGGGCAAATGCCCTTGTCCTTTAGTGTGTAAATGCATGTTTGTGTCAGAAGTGTAGAATGTGGGATTTACAGTGCGATGGGTGTGTGTGGGGGTGGAGGGACAGTGGCTGGGATTGTCGTGTGTGCGTGTGTGTGTTGAGACAAAAGGCATTGATTACTGAAATCCTGCAAAAGGCAGGAGAGGTGTCAAAAGTGATGCAGAGGAGAATCTCAGAGCTTGAGCTCAGGTGTCTTCTTCTGGTCTCATAAAGCTGCTGTCCACACCCTGTCTGCACATTCACTCTAATCAACAAACTGATCAGTCAGAGGTGGGTCACATTTTGTTTCAGGGGGCCACAGTGACTTAAAAAACAACAATAATTAAAAGGCCACACAGCAATATGTTTACCCTTTAGGACTTGAGACAAAATGCTTAACCAGATTGACTTTGTTAGTCTGGTTTAGCTAACGCAACCATGATCTAAAAAGGATGCTGGTTAAGTGAGCCACCTTGTACTTAGCAGTTACCAATTTATTTTAGTTTAACATCTACCAGTTACCTTATTTTACTTCAACATTTCATTGGACACATACATAATAAAAACCTTTATCATGTACAATATTTAGTCACAATATGTGTGAATATGATCATATTATGCTTCGTACTGCCCAGGAAGTGTACTCCAGTAGTTTGAATTATCAACACTGGGACATTTGGTGGGCACAAGAAGACATAGCGTGGATATGGAGGATGAAATGTGACAAAATTAAATGCATCGTAATTTTTGTATGTTTAATGATGTATTATTTATTTATTTAATTTTGTCACATTCCCTATTCCACAGGGGGTTTTGTGCCCACAAATTTATGAATGCAAAGTGAGCAGAACTGCAAAAAAGTATAAAGTACAAATAATCTATAAAATAATCTGGATCCAAATTACAACATCCAGTCACAGTTTGTTTTTAAGACAGTGATGGTTTAATTAGAATATTTAGTTTTTATTAATAATAATAATAATAATAATAATAATTATTATTATTATTATTATTATGGCAGCACGGTGGTGCAACCGGTAGAGCCGCTGCCTCTCAGCGAAAAGGTTGCTGGTTCAAAACCCGTTCCGGGGGCATGTCTGGGTGTAGTTTGCATGTTCTCTCTGTGCATGCGTGGGTTTTTTCCAGGTACTCCGCTTTCCTCCCACAGACCAAAAACATGCATGTTAGGCTGATTGGTAACTCTAAATTGTCTCTAGGTGTGAGTTAGAGAGTGAATGGTTGTTTGTCTCGTTTGTCTCTATATGTGTCCCTGTGATGGACGGGAGACCTGTCCAGGGTGTACCCCGCCCCTCGCACAGTGATTGCTGGACATGGGCACCAGCGACCTCCGTGACCCAAAATGGAAGAAGCGGGTAAAAGATAATGGATGGATGGATGGATGACGACATTGAGGACATGAAGACTGAAGGCTTTTTTTGGCCCATGGCAGCACGATGGATCAGTGGTGGCACTGTTGCCTCACAGCAAGAAGGTCCTGGGTTCAATCCCATGTTGGACCTGAAGTCTTTCTGTGTGGAGTTTGCATGTTCTCTCCGTGCATGCGTGGGTGTTCTCCAGGTACTCCGGTTTCCTCCCACAGCCCAAAAACATGCATGTTAGTCTGCCTTCAGGTCCAGGCCTCCCTTGCAAAAGAGATCTGTGATCTCAGTGGGATTTGTCTGGTTAAATAAAAGTTAATAAACATGCTGAAAATCGCTTTTTTTTTTTTAAATGAACATGCTCCATTTTATGCATCTTTTGCTGCAAGAAAGACCAAAAAAAAAAAAAGAAGTTTTATTTAAGTTTTTTTTTTTTTCCTTCCCAGCAGAGACTTGAGAATGATTTAGTTGTGGAGCAGAGAACAAGTGATGCTGAGAGAACAAGAGCCTTGAATGTGACATTTGGAGTCGTCAAAAGAAAAACTTGTTGATAAAACCTGTAAACGCACCGATACCTGCCCACCCCCGGGGGGGGGGGGGGATCTCCCCCCCGTTCAAATGGCTCCCTAACACATTGGCTTTTGTTGACACTTCACATTGAAATTGACTCTGGCTCGATGGAAGGGGGAGGAGGAGGAAGGACGTGTTTCACAGGCAGAAAGAGAGAGAGAGAGAAAAAAAGAAAAACAGCGAATCAGACCGATTGACAATTTCCTGATGGGAGGTGCCGCTTATCGGTTCCCCCAAATCTCCTGAGCCAACAGGAGGTCAGGACACACAAGAAGCTGCACGCAAGCAATGGATGAGCTCTGACTGGGATCAGAACTTCAGTGAAACCTTCCGCCCTGAACTGTGGGACTCATCTTTGGAGACATGTCAGTCTCTGCACAAACAGGTAAGAAATGTCTCATTTGCCCTGAATGTCTCTGCTGTTCGGTCATGGCATGATTCATTTCTGACAAGACAGGAGCTGAACAAGGACAATGTGCAAACTTTGAAAAATGTTAATCAGTCTACTTACTGGGTGGTGAAAAAGTTGTGTTCACCGTTACAGGAGAATCAAGCAGCTTTTGTTGGAGCATAAGTATTTATCTCATGGCTATTTCAAATAGGAAGTAAACAACTACATAAGGTACTTTTCCTATTACGATACATGTACCTTTTTCTACCCCCCAGAATAAGTATTCTAGGGGCCCTGCCAGGTGGGAAAATTACTAATTTTGTAGTTGGAACCAAGAATTATTTATTTATCCTTTATTTATACAGGTAGTCTCACTGAGTCAGGAGGACTCATTTTCAAGAGAGACCTGTTTTGGGAGGGGGGGGGGGGTTGTAAGGGCCATGCTCAGGGGCCCAGAGTGGAGCAAATGAGGGTGAAGGCAGGTGTGGGTGTTTCACCTTTTCCATCCACATTTTGAGGTTGTTGGTCAGGGGAGTAGAGCCGGCGACCTTCCGATCACAGACCCACCTTCTCTAACCTCTGCGCCACCACTCTCCCCATGAATGCATATGAGTCTCAGAGTAACCTAACGTCAGACATTTGTGTGTGTGTGTGTGTGTGTGTTTTTTAAGCTCAAAATGGACACATTTTATTTGTTTAACATCTTGTAGCCACAAAAGACTAACAACAGAAAATTTAGCATCTAATTCAATGGGCACTGGTCTCACACCTGTCAAAACCTGTCCCAACCTGTCCCAACCTTTCAAAACCTGTCCCACACCAGTCCAAACCTGTCACAACCTGTTCAAACCTATCAAACACCTGACCAACCCTGTTCCATACTTGTCCAAATCTGTTCCACACCTGTCAAAACATGTCACATACCAGTCTAAACCCAACCTGTCCCAACCTTTCAAAACCTGTCGCACACCTCAACTACTCAACTCAACTCAACTTTATTTTGGTAAATTAGCATTACAGAAAAAGGAAAACAATATAGACTACTTTTTGACAAATCAATAATTTACCAAAAAAGGAATAGGCTGAAGCCGAGGCTTATACTTGCCTACCCTGTTCATAGACTCAGCAGTCTTCAATAATAAAATATATCTACTGTCCATATATATACATACATTACATATACACATATCTATATAAAAATGTGTCTGTGTATATGTATAAGCATACTTACATTACATACATACATTGTTAAACACTACATATATACATCTACATAACAGTATAAGCTTTTATAATTTTACCTTTTATGGACCTTTTAAAGCTCAACAAAAAAGCAAATAATTTGAGTTCATCATTCAATTCATTCCACAATTTCACACCGACAACTGAAATGCATCTAGATTTTACTTTACTTTTCTCTTCAGCTTGTTCAAATATTAATAAACCTCGTAAATTATAATTACTCTCCCTTAACTTAAATAATTTCTGAATTCCAGAAGGAAGACTTTTATTCACTGCTTTATACATTATTTCCAGTATTTTTATATTTACAATGTCATTAACTTTTAAGGTGTTACTTTGAATAAAAAGTTTATTAGTTGGTTCACAATATCCCACTTTATTAATAAGCCTAATTGCTTTTTTTTGTAACTTTACTAATATGTCAATAGTTGTTTTATTAGCATTTCCCCATATTTCTGCACAGTATGACAAATAGGGCATAACCAAAGAAGAGTATATAATATGCAAGCCTTTTACATTTATTAAATCTTTTATTTTAAACAATATTCCAACAGTTTTTGAAACTTTATTTCTAATATATTCAATATGAGGCTTCCAACTAAGTTTGTTATCCAGAATGATACCTAAAAACTTTGTCTCATAAACTCTGTCGATTTCAACTCCATTTAGATGTAACTTTACATTATTATAAATCCGATTACCAGAAAATACCATAAATTTTGTTTTTTGTCCATTTAATGATAACTTATTGTAATCAAACCACTTTTTTAACTCAGCTAGCTCTTTTTCTACTATTTGTATTAGTTCATCCATATTCTTTCCAGAAAGAATAAAATTTGTATCATCAGCAAACATTATAAATTTCAAAATATTGGATACTGTAAAAATATCGTTCACATAAAGTATAAATAATTTAGGTCCTAGAACCGAGCCTTGAGGAAGACCACATTTTATAGTTTCAGTTTGTGACTTTGTATTGTTAATTTGTACATATTGTAATCTATTACTCAAGTAACTCTTTAACCACTGATGTGTAACCCCCCCGTAAGCCATATTGTTCACATTTCCACAGTAGTCGTTCATGGTCAATAGTGTCAAACGCCTTACTTAAATCAATGAACACTCCCACTGTATTAAGTTTCCGATCAACTGCTGCAGCAACGTGTTCCACAAACTCCATCACAGCTAAAGTTGTGGAGTAGTTGTTTCTAAAGCTGTACTGGTGTTCATTTAATATATTGTTTTTATTAAGAAAGGAGTCCAGCCTTTTTATGAATATTTTTTCCAGGATTTTAGAAAACTGTGGTAGCAATGAAATGTCCAAACATGTTGCACACCTGTCAAAATATGACCGACACCTGTCAAAACATGTCCCACATCTGTCAAAATATGACCAACACCTGTCAAAACATGTCCCATACCAGTCTAAACCTGTCCCAACCTTTCAAAACCTGTCCCACACCTGTCCAACATTGTCCCACACTTGTCAAAACCTGTCCCACACTAGTCCAAACCTGTCCCACACCTGTCCAATCTGTCCCACACCTGTCCAAAACTGTCCCACAACTGTCAAAATCTGTCTCACACTAGTCCAACTCTGTCCCACACTTCCCAAATCTGGCCCACACCTGTCCAAGCCTGTCCCACACCTGTCCCAACCTGTACAAATATGTCCCACACCTGTCCCACACTTGTCAAAAACCTGTCCAACCCTGTCCCAGACTTGTCCAAATCTGCCCCACACCTGTCCAAGCCTGTCTCACACTTATCCAAATCTGTCCAATGAGTCCAAATGAATTATCATGGCTTAATGGGACTAACCTGTTTAAATAAAGGTTGAATGAATGAATGTCCAACCCTGTCTCACACCCGTCCAAATCTGTCCCAACTTTTTCTTTTTTCCAGCTGTCATCAAATCTGGCAGTATGATCCAGAGAAAGAAAATTGTGCAGTCTGTCCTGCGACAGCTCCAGGAGGTCGTGGAGAGCTCAGGCCTGGACACTGTGACCAGAACAGCCGCCTACGTTCACCAGGTCCTCGCTCCTTTACAGCTCCCAAAGACCCCCTTTCAAGATTTTCCCAAGTGGGTAAATGTGGACAACACAGCTCAAGGTTTATACCCAGCTGATGCACCTGGAGGACTCCTGCCTCTGAGGTGTAATGGAGAAGGCAACTTGTTGTTTGATGCCATTAGCATGCTGCTTGTCGGCAACACTGGACTTAGCTTGGAGCTACAGGTAAGCAAATGTTTTATACGGTTCTGTTCACTTTATGTTGTTGTTTTGCCATTTGTAACTGATTTTATTAATATTGACTCTCATAGGTAAGGACTGTGGTGGAAATGGTGCTGTGGAAGAGATACTACCTGGCTGGAATGATTGATTCTAAAATGATGCTGCAAGCTGTTCGCTTCAGTTTATGCGCTGAAGAGTCTGAAGATATGCTGAACCTGCCAGTAACTGTCTTGGAGGCCATTTATGATGTCGATGTCAAAGCGTCCTGCTTCCCTGGCTCTTATGCTAACATGTGGCACATTTACGCCCTGTCGTCTGTCCTTCAGTTCAACATATACTCCATCTACCCCATGTTCAACCTTAAGATTCGACCATATTTCCACCGACTGATTCGCCCAAGAACCTGGCCCGAAGACTCTGAGCCACACACAATACACATAATGTGGTCTGGAGAGCTGCAGTCCAAGTCATTGTTTAAGCCAAAATATTTTGTTGCCCTTGTTGAGGCGAATACGCCCATGTTTGGAAGCCCTGAAAGCAAGCAGAAAGGCTCTCTGCTCAAAAGTAAAGGGAACCAGGAGTTACAAGATCCTCTTTCAAATTTGAAAGATATGAGCAGCGTCACCAAGAAGACCTTGTTTGACTGGAAGAAGCAGACCCAGGAACACTACAAAAGATCAACAGCTAGGTATGAGGCTAAGCATTTCCTACAGGCCTGCTACTTGGAGGGTAAGCTCATCCCTTTACACAAGTTTAAGGAGTTTTTCCCTGAGATCTCAAGGTCGTCATACTACAACTGGAAGCAAGAGCTGAAAACCAGAGGAAACTTTTCCACTTCATCTTCCACTGGAGAAATAAGTCCTGGAGAGAGCACAGAGCAGGAGGCCTGGTCCTCACCCGAAGCAAATCTGGATGAGTCAGACCACCATGACAGTGTGGCCGGCATGTTCGGCTTTGGAAAGCTGGATGCGGAGCGGGCTCAGATTGTAACACACATGCAAGATGCTAAGCGCTGGCTGCAGAACTGCCTCGCTGTGAACACTTCCTTCCCCTTCAGGATGTTCAAGAAAAACTTTCCGGGGATCTCAAGATCCACATACTACAACTGGAGGAGAGAAGCTATGGTTGTTATCGGGGGCCACAAAGGCAACGTTGGCAGCAGTGAGGACAGCTCGGATGCAGACAAAAGCCAGAGCCCAAAAGGTCAGTTGTCGGTGCTGCCCGGCATTAACCATCGTGTTGTTCCAAGAGAGAGGACCTGGAGACAAAAACACAGAAGTTTCATGATGGCATACATAAGCAAAAAACAGCTAAGAGAAGCTGCAAAGTTGCACGTTCAGAAGTCCAACTGGTCCCTGATAAAGTTCAAGCTCAAGTTCCCGTACATATCCTTGTGTTTCTACTGGCTGTGGCGTAGCAGCTGCAAGGCCAAGCAGAAGATGACCTCTCAGAGTGTGGAGGTCAGTGTTCCTCAGAGCCTGCAGAGCACAGGCGGTGAAAAGATGGCGGTGAATCAGCACGAGCTCCTGCATGTCGAGACCCCCGGTTGTGTGGAAAGTTCCCGTGTGGCCTCTTTTGATGGCCAGCATCTGAATCTCACCTTTCCCAAAAGGCCACCCGTAAACGAGCAGATGTTCACAGCAGATGTTATGGTTCTCGCCAACTTCAAGGCCAAAGCCAAGCTCTTCCTCCAGCAACGCTTCCAGGAGAAGGCTTTCCCCTCATTTAAAGAGTTCCGGTCCTACTTCCCTTTCACGGCACGCTCCACATACTACATGTGGAAGCGAGCTTTGTATCACGGGGTGTCACTGATCCATGGGTAAAGTAAAAATGCCTTAATTTCCATTTGCACCATGCTGTTGACTTCATGTGTTAAACAGCTGCCAAGTAAACTGACTTAACATCTAAATGCATCGGGTCCATCCTCTGTCCCAATCCTTCCTCCGTGGAAATTTGCACGTGTGTAAAAAAAACTAAGCTGCGGGTCTGTTTAAATCCTGCATTTTGCCCCAGAGGCAAAAGGCAGTTCAAAGCTGGAGCTGAGTGGCATTTTGTTTGAAGCCTTGTCTCCTTCATTCTTTTCAATTCTGGCTTCTGGACTTTTTCTATTTTACTTTTCTATATTGTGCATTTGTATGCAACAATTTGAAGCAAGGCATTAGTTTGAAGTTTGAAGATCAGTTTGAGGATTTTCTCTTTTTATTCCCCTAAAATTAAAGACTATATTTTGTTTCCTGAGAAATGCCTCTTTGGTTCAGACTTTTTCTGACAACGATCCCGTTTCGTTTTATATTTCTCAGATTACCAACACCGTTCAGGGATTTTCTTGATGTTATGAAGTAGCAATACAAGGATTTTAGCATTTTTATGGCAATCAAAACTGAATGACATGCTTGATTTGCACTGAAATGGTTCCCGCTTTGTTGTTGAATGTATTGCCTTAGCTAATAAGCACACACTGGTTTTGCTGTGAACAATTCCACTTTAAAAATACTTGAAAAATACTTGAATATACATGTTTTTTTTTCCCCACTGCATTTCAAAACTACCTACCGGTATTATGCCGGACGATTTGTTTTAGAAATCTGCTTGTTTTGTGCCATTTTGTATGCAAACCGATGTGCGTTTAAAAGTTTGTCAATGTAAAACCCCTGAAAAACACCTCATTATACATTTAGATAGATAGATTGATACTTTATTAATCCCATAGGGGCAAATTCGAGGAAGGAATTTCTACTTCCATGTATTTATTTTCTTGTATTCAATACTTAATTTCTATTAACACTGGCTTTTATGTTCATTTAGTAGATGAGTAAATATGTACTATTAGGCTTTATATCAATAAACTTTTATTGATTGAGCAACATTTCACTTTGTATTTTATTTCAACATATTCCTTAATAACTTGGACTAATTAATGCAACAGTTCACTACCCCGTGATGCACAAAAGTTCTCTTTAGTTGAATTTAGTTTAATTTTTCACTTGGACACGTCTTGATTTGTCCACTCTCTTAAACCTTGTTTTTTTTTTTTTTTGCAAAGGTTTGCAGCTGATTATTAGTCTACTTATAAGAAAAGCCTAGCCAGGTGAATTTATTTACACATTTAGTGCAAAATAAGAAAAAAAGTAAATTCTTTGTCTACAGCTGAAACCACAGGGCCAAAACACAGCATGTGCTTTTGCAGATATTCTTACAGTCTTTTCTCTGGCCTTTGTGCTTATGTTAATGCTGCAGAGTGCTGAGGGAGGAAGGGTTAATTGTATGTATGCATGGGGATGGAGGTGTTTCAAGATAAGAAGAACATCCAAGAGTTTTGGGGGAAGGATACAAACACAGAAGAAGGTGGGGGGGAGGGTGTTGTGTGTAGCTTTCTGACTGAACTGAAACCACCTTGTTGATTAAAGTGAAACATTTTCCTGCAGCCACTTGTTTTATCAGCCGGGTTTTTAAATGGATTAAATGAGCAGTCCAGGGAAATGTTTGGCATTTTTTAGTACACGGTGAAAGTAAATTAATCAATGAACTGAAATCAGATCAGACAGTGGCTCTGCTTTCAGTCATTGTCACTGAACGCTTTCATGTATTGATTGGATTATATAAAGTGTTAAATAAATGAAAAATTACAGATACATTTATATGTTAATGATCCCAAAGGGGGGAAAAAACAATCCAGAACTGACAACATTATTGAACATAAACTACTTAATAAGGACAAAGTAATGTGTTTAATGTTAATTTTGACAATAATAAAACCCCAATAAACTCATGAAATCAAGTCAATTAATAAATTGTTCATTTCATTAAATGGTGACAGCTGGGAGGTGTTGTGCAGCCAAATGAACTAATGTCCAAATGAGATTTTAATTATTTCATTGACAGACGCATCTGTCTGATGATGGTGCAGGTCGTTGTCCAGTTTGACCAGCAGCTTCTCTGGGGTCCTTTTTTTCTGCTACGCTCCACCACAGAGCCGGCCCTGCTCACAAGTTTGTGCAGTCTTGTTATGTATCTCATGCTGTTTCTTGTTGCTGTTTTAAATGCTATATAAATAAATTGGTATGGTATGGTATGGTATGTTTCCTCCTCAGCTCTGTCTCTAACCACTAGATCTGAGGTCTGCAACCTACGGCTCTGGAGCCACATGTGGCTCTTTGGTCCCTCTGCAGCGGCTCTTTCAGGCTTTGATCAAAACTAAAATAAAACTGAATTTTATTTAAATTATTGCCAACAATGGCTACTGTTTAGCAGAATCCCTGTCATTTTCAAATATGTGAAGGATAGTACAAATACAAGGTGTAAAACATGGACTACATCACGCTAGTAGTTTGTTAGCCACTTTGTCGACTTCCAGTCTCACAGCATGATCTTCCTCTCAAAACCACCAGAATGTTTTGGAATGTCTTTAAGACAAGCTGCTGAGAAGGAATATGGTGAGGAACTTTGATAACACTAAGAATAAAACACAAAAAACAAAGTCAAAGTAAACAAAAGTACTTTTCTTTAAAAATGTAACTGGATACCCAACAAATTGGCCTAATTTTATATTGTCTTTAACTTTATGCTTTAAGTAGTAAGTAAATGTAAAATGCTTTTATCAATTTTTTTCAGTAATCATTGATTATGATGTCAAAAGTGCAACAGAGAACATCAAATGAGATCAATCAAACTTGTTGAGGAACCTGTGACCAAAAAAAGATGTTGGGGATCTAACTTGAGTTAATGTAGATTCTGAAACTGGACCTTAGTTTGAAAAAGGTTTTAACATTGGTCCCCTTTTGTAAATGAGTTTGACACCCCTGCTTTACATGAATCTAGTCTTTTCTTTTGTACTAAAATGTAAATATATGAATAAATGTTAATCATAGTAAGACATTTTTCTTTTTATATCACCCCTACTGGCTGGAAAAGCCAACTCCAACAAACCTGTAATGGCCCATGGGCCACCAGTTGACAATACACAGTTGTAGCAGGTTTTGCAGCTCCAGACATCATAAGTAGTAAGCAAAGTGTCAAAAATGGCTCTTTTTATCGCAAAGGTTGCAGACCCCTGCACTAGACTGAGGAACAGCTTCTACCCTGACTCATAAATCTCTAACCAGGAAAATCACTGTAATTTCACTTTAATTGGTGATTTATCACTTTATCCATGCTGCTGATTATCCATGCTGCTGATCTGCTCACATGAGACTTGTGTTCAGGCTGCTGTTTAATACACTGTATATATTATTATTGTTTAGCAAATATCTTAGATCCTTGTATAGTTTCTTTCTTTAAATAGTTATATTATTGATTTTTTGGGTGTAACTGACCTTGAATACACAATTTTGTTCCACCTCATGTACCACATGTGATGGAATGATAATAAAGAACCTTGAACCCTTCCTGTGGAGTCTTTTCATGTTCAGAGACCAGTCCAGTCTGTCGTCCACATCAACCTCTTTAATGCAGAAATGATGAACTCTCTATATTTGTTCTTTTGGAAATCTACTACCAAGTCTTTGGTCTTGGAGTTGCTCAGCTGCAGATGGTTAAATCTGCACCACTTGACATCGATGAGGTGTCCGTATGTCCTAAAATACTAAAAGTTTCAGAAGCTCATCATTAATCATCTTTCCTAAAATCTCAGTATCTTCCTTTTGTCTTTAGGTCAGTTTGCATCTCCATCTTCATTATGGCGTGCTAGAAAACAATCTCTGGCACTGAGTTCTCCCCATGTTGTTTATTTGAAATATAAATAATGAGGGTTGGCAGGTGGGAGCTGAGGTGTTTCGTGGATTAGCATACTGCGCTTGCTTCAGAAAGTCAGAGCGATAAAGGCAGAGAGGCATCTCATGGATGCCAATTTTCCTCTGCAAACAAAACAGACCTGTGAGACTCTTAATGCCTCCTGTTTGCTGCCAATTACCATTCTGACAGCAGCAGAATGAAACAGTCATAAAGTTGGAAAGCAGTGGAAAAGCAAAAAAATCTCTGACCGAAACTTTAAAAACAACAATCATTTAAAATCCACAGATTACCTCATAATGAGCCATCTGAAACAGGGAGATCATTGCTGTCTGCATTCTGTTCAGCTACAAACATGCATGGTGGTCTTTTGGTGTATGCACACAGTTTGTCCAGCAGGTGGCAGTGTTTTGCTTTATGTCACATGTTTCCTGTTCAAGACAAAAACACTTCAGGCACATGAACTTTGAATCAATAGGTCAGTGCAGAGCTCAGGGAGCTGTGCAGATAGTCTCTCTGATAACTATATTAATAAATACATCCTTACACTGCAGCCATATTAGACAAAAAGCAGGTAATGTTTGAGAAACCAATGGTTTATTTCTAGTTTAGGCCTAATTAATTCATACAGGAGACCAAATGAATGCAGCTTTTACTCTGGGATGAATATTATGTCTAAACACAGCTCATTATATTTGTTTATTATGCAACCATTTCCCTGCAACCCTAAATACACTGTTTTAAATACCAGGAGTTTTAAGAGGTTAGAGCTGGGATCTGTAATTTTTTATTTGATTTTTTTTACATTCAAAGGAGCTGTTTCTCCCCTTTCCCTACTAAACAAAATATGACCAGAGCTGCAAAACCTACTTAAAGATTACAATAAAATTGTAACAAAAAAACAAAAACTACAATGTCCGACACTAATTTGTTACATACGGTAACTAAAGAACTAATTGAGGCTTCTGTGAGTCTTACCAATATTTGTAAAAAAAAAAAAAGTAATAATCTAAAACCGGACAAATAGAAATGCATACATTTGCATTTAAATAATTTTTGAGTTAACATAAAAATCGTTGTTGTATATTTAACAGTCATTCCTTCATTTTGTAAAACATTTTTTAGTTTTTTAAATATAAAGTCAAGCTTTTACTTTTAATTGCCATTGTCCTCAGAGTAATTAGCCATGTTTTAGCAAACTGTCTGCTTCCAATAACTTCTAACATAGAAACATGTTTGCAAAACTGAATTTATGTTTTCTTTCATCCTCAACTTGCTGTAAATATGTTGAACAAGTTTATTTTCCCAGTAGATGTTGAAAAGACCAATTAACTGTATGTCCAACAAGGTTGAGTCAGGTCCTCTGGACAGATTCTTCACGTTGAAACGTTTTGTCTTTTATCTACAAAAATGGTTAAATCATGTCAGGCTTTTTTTTTCTCGTGTTTTATCCAAAAGACTTTGTCAGTCTGAGGAGCTGTAATAAACTCAGTCTTATAAATAACATTCTCATAGTGGATCAACCAGTAAGCTGGTGACATGTAAAACTAGCTGTTCACTTGCTTAGCATCAGCCTGCCAATTGGTTGTTAGCACACTGATGGCTGTTTACTATTCACAGAGGGCTGAGTGATACTAGCAATCACAGCATTGTAAGAGGGGGACAGTTGAACCCGGAGGCCTCCACCCCTGTTTAATGATGGACGATTTCTTTTCACAAAGATGGCCTCCTTTACTCCTCTCTCAAACCATCGTTCCTCTCTGTCCAGGATGTGAACATCTTCATCCCTGAAAGAGTGACCGCTGGCCTGGAGATGAGTGTAGACCTCAGAGTCCTGGCCTGATGATGTTGATCTTCTGTGCTGGGCCATCCTTTTGGCCAGTGGCTGTTTTGTTTCCCCGATGTAAGACTGATCACAGCCCTCCTGACACTGAACAGCATACACAACATTGCTCTGTTTGTGCCGGGGGACTGGATCTTTGGGATGAACCAGTCTTTGCCGTAATGTATTTTGGGGTTTAAAAGCCACTGGGACGTTATGTTTAGAAAATAAACGTCTCAGTTTCTCTGATACTCCCTCAACATACGGAATGACCACTGGTCTGGGTCTGGGTTCCTCCTTTTCACCTGTTGGCTGACTGGAGTCCTGTTTGGGTTTCTTCTCTGCTTT